AATTACTTAACTCGATCAAGACTCCAATATAAAGAATTTTCATGTTGTACAGTCAACAACTAATCCCTCAAGACTTATATACCTATTTATACATGGGTCTATTTTGTCCATTAAAGAAGGGAAACCATGAAGGAGAGAAGGAGAGAAAAAGAGAAGAAGGAAGAAGAAGAACATGGAGGACATTGCTAAGGAGACAACCTATGTTGCTTGTGTGAGAACACTTCGTAGGATAAGAGACGAAGTACAGTTTCTTTTTCTAAAAATTTTGTATGGTCTATATGATCAGATGATTCATTAGATCAAACATTTTAAGACTTAAGCATGATTCGTTGGTTAAGACAATCATTTAATGACCAAAATAACTATTTACTTGTCAATCGTTGAAATAAAGTTTAGTGCTCGCTATATTTAATTCACTGGTTAAAGACTTCAAATACAAGTGAAGCAGTGATGTTAAAATATTTGCCGATTCACGACCCGTAACACATTAATGAAAGAAAGCGATTACTTAACTTGTAGTATATAGAAAATAATCACGTTTATTATTACAAGTCGATCAAGACTCCATTGTAAAGAATCTTTGTGTTGTATAATCAACAACTAATCAAACAAGAATCATATATTCATTCAATACAAGGGACTTTGGTGTCCATTGAAGAGAGGAATCATGAAACAGAGAAGAAACGAGGAAGGGTGCCCTCATAGTTATTTTTCTAAAATAGACTTTCTATTATGGGTAATGTGATTCTTTGAACACACAATATACTACAAACATGAATACACTTCAAAAAAAATTAAACTTTTAATTAGAATATGAACTCAATAAAACAAGATAATAGGGCAAAGTTGAGCGACAGATTAGTAAACAGGACGAAGAGGAGGAGACATCATACTCAAAATTCATAGTTGAGAGAAGGAAACAAAGAAGTTGTTGTTGCGAATACTTACAGAGGATTTGAGACAGAGTCTAATAATCATAGGTTGTTGTTGATCAAGATGAAAAAGAGACGCTTATGTTGAGTTGAGCAAAAGATCAGTAAACAGGAAGAAGAAGAAGAGACAGCATACCTTAAATTCGCAGTTATGGAAAGGAAATAAATATGTTGCTGCTGAGAATACGTACAGAGGATTTGAGGCAGAGCTGAATAACTCTAGGTCGTTGTTAACCAAGATGAAAAAAAGACACTTTTGTTGAGTTGAGCGAACAATATGATCATCAGTAAACAGGAAGAAGAAGAGACACCATACCTTAGATTCGCAGTTGAGAGAACGTTGTTGCTGAGAATACGTTCAGAGGATTTGAGGCAGAGATGAATAGTCCTAGGTCGTAGTTGATCGAGATGAAAAAGAGACACTTCTGGACTTGAGAATACGTATAGGGCAAAAACGTGACCAATGGATTTTGAGAGAAAAACGAATTTTTTTTTGGATTTTTAGAAAATAGTGTTTCTTTTTTCCGCCTACTTTTCAGAATTATTATTTTTTGGGTTTTAGTAAATTTTTTAGCAATGTTTTGGCGCTCCCGCTAAGTCTCTCAATTACAATTGGGACGGGTCATTTGTTTTCTTAGGGACGAGATTTTTTACCTTCTCAATAACATATAACTTTTAGGACCGAAATATAATCTCGTCTCAAAATATATACTTTTTGTGACGGGATTATTAACTCGTCCCTACATGTTGGTCTTAACTGAACCTTTTTCTTGTAGTGCAAATTACATAACTGATTCCAAGAGTACTAATGTAAAGACGGGACAGTGTATAAGGATAAAGGAACACTCATCGATGTAATGGTGAAATATAAAATAAAGAACAACTTCAATTTCAGAGTGAAAAGATCGGATAAAAAAAAGGTATTGGAGTGTTTTATCTCTAATTTGATTTTTTTTTCTTCAGTTTATGCATGATTAGTACAATTCTATTTTCTACCGTGTGTGATACATAAGTATATTTAGTATATGTATCATAAAGATAAGTTTGTTGGTGTTTGATGATTTGAACAAATTGGTAAGGATTATGTGAATAATTATGTTAATAAATTGTAGTACTGATACATAAAAATATTGTAAAAAATTTGTTATGTTCTTTATTATGGACGATACATTAATGTGAATAATTATGTCACAAGTTGTGAAACACTGTAACATTATATATTTGAAATGCTTTGTTTATATGCCTTATTCTGATGAAATTTTTTTGGCAACTATGTGTTAGTGTGCTTCAGTGATGAATGTTGCTGGTGTTTAAAGTATTCTTGCAGAAAGAAATCCGATGTATTCAAAGTGAGATACTTCAATAGTGAACATACTCCGATGCGGGATAGGATACTAACAAAAGTACAAGAAACAATTGGATTTATTAGTGGTGTGACTGCCCCTAAGTTGGTAAATCATAAACGAATTCATACGCCGAAAGATGTAATTGAAGATATTCGAGAATTATATCAGGTTGAAATATTATACCAGCAAGCATGACGTGCTAAGAAACGTGCACTAGAGATACTAAAGGGTAAACCACCAGATGGATATAAGCAGATGTTGAGATACATATGGATGCTAAATAAAGTGAATCCAAATTCATATATAAGGATGCAAAAGACGGAAGATAATCAATTCATGTATCTTTTCATAGCCCTAAGGCCATTGATGAGAGGGTTCGACTACTGCAGACCTGTAGTTGTAGTGGACGGTGCACATCTTGGCGGGGCTTACAAAGGTACTTTTGTGTAAGCTAGCACACTCGATGGTGCAGGTATGACTGTTGCAATACTGATGTAATTTTGAACTTGTTTTATATGTATAATCAATGTATCTTAATGTAAACGTTATGTATCAATAAGTTAAATGTGTGTTGCTTTGTGATTAGGTTGCATATTGCCGTTGGCATATGGTGTTGTAGACACTGAAAATGACTGTTCGTGGACATGGTTCTTTGAACAATTCAAAATTGCATTTGGCGAGCGTGAAGACATGTGTATTGTATCAGATAGAAATGAAAGTATTATGAAGAGTGTAAGCATTGTGTTCCTAAATGTACCTCACTGTGCATGCATATGACATCTTTGGAAGAATGTCTGTTCAAACTTCAAAAGGAGTAAAAACACACTAAGTGACATATTTTACTCAATGGCAAAGGCATACAGAAAGAAGGATTTTGATAAATTAATGGCTAAGGTGGTGAAAGTTGATCATAGGGTGAAGGATTACCTTGAGGATGCTGGGTATGAGAAGTGGTCAAGAGTTCATTCACTAGTAAACAGAGGTAGAATGATGACTTCGAACATCGCAGAATGTATCAATGGTTGCCTTGTTGATGCACGTCGGTTAACTAATTCTTGGAAGAAGCTAGACTTTTATTTGGTAGTTGGAACTGTAAAAATAGAGAAATAGCGTCATATACAAAGGACACATTAGGCAAAAGATTTGAGGAGGTATTGATTGTAAACGCATCTAAAAGTTCAAAGATGAAGGTATTTATCAATATCCATAGCTTTCTATTTTATGTATCAGAAACTCGGATCATTTCACTGTTAAGCATTGCTTTGGAAATGATATAAAATGGAATATCATGTAATGTATCACTAACTTATTAGTGTTTTCAGGTTGTTCCATCATCTGAATATATTTTCTCAGTTTATGAAGCCGGAAGAAGATACATTGTATGCCTTGAGCGGAAATCATGTACTTGTGGAAAATTTCAACAAGATGAGATACATTGTGCACACACAATTGCAGTTTTAAAGCATAAGAATGTTAAGGATATGCATCCATATTGCTCTGATTACTACAAGTCTGAGGCATTAGCAAAAACCTACAAGGCTGCAATGGTTCTCATGCCAGATAAGGAGAATTGGACAGTTCCAGACTATGTTTTAGATGAAATTGTTTTGCCACCTAGGTATAGAAGGTTGGCTGGACGACCAAGGAAACGAAGAAAGAAAAACGTGGATGAGAAGATAACAGTGAACAAGAATTCTTGTGGGCAATGTGGACAAGAAGGTCACAATAAGAGAACTTGTACTTTCTTCCCGAAAGAGAAGTGAAATAATATTTTTAACTTGCAGTTATTTTTAAATTGTACTTTCTTCCCAACAGGACATTCGTGTTCATGCTTAATAAATTGCACTTACATATATTTTTCACTTTAGTATTTGGATTAAATAAAGTGTATTGTTTACACAATTTATTTTGTTGTTCAATTAAAAAAGGGAAAATACATTAAAAAAAAATTTGAACTTGGCACGAAAACTTACTTTAATACTTCAACTACACGGGTGTTTATATACCCCTCTAATCTCATTTAAAGTGAATAAATACCCCCCTTAATGCTGACGTGGCATAATGAAAATAGTTAAGCGCGTCTTTCTTTTTTATTAAAAAATTGGTCCCACTAATATATGTAGTATATAATTAAAAAAAATCCCAGCCCTTTTCACTTATTTTGAACCCCCTTATCTCGTCCTTTCTCCTTCTTCGAACACCCCCAATGTACCCTACCTCACCTGCATCTTAATCTTCATTTTCTTTTTTTTTGTTTTCAGATCTACTAAAGAGAGAAAAATCATTAAACTTCGTTCCGATCAAACTTGAGATTTCTGTCGAACAAAAGAAAATTTCATCAACACATTTTTATGATTTCAAAAATTATGATTGTTGTATGTCATGAAAAAATAAGGGTTTTTGAAGATGGAATATTGGAAAGGATT